GCGACCATCTGGCACGGTCGCGGACCGAGTTCCGTGGCCCAACCCATCATTAAGCGGTGCGCATGCGTATAGATACGATCAACGCAGGCTCCACACCTCTACCTGATCCGCTTGTTCTGTGTACCTTGGAGGCACAAGAAGCCACAGGGAAGGGCGTGTATCGACTGCCGCATTCTATCTGCTACCGTAGCTAGCCCGTGTCAGATTATCCGCGAGCTACTAGCGGGAGACCGCGGGTACCATTAGCGATACCGCTCATGCGCAGTTCGCCGAGGGTTTGCACTTCAGTGCTTTTCATTTCGCTATTAATCATTTTGCATGTGCATGATAACAAAAGCTATTCTTGCAAATCGGAATAGCATTCCTTCCACAATGGTTGGGTTAGTTAGGTAAGATAATAAGTTTAGAGAAGGTACAACAATTTGCACTACGGATGTGTGCCAAATACTTCCATGCAACATATGAGAATTTGCTACATCTATTTTTTGTACCATCACTTAGAAACAGAACATTATGTTTGTCGTTATGTACATTTTATTTCATTAGTGCATTTCCCACAACAGAACATTGTACACCCCATCATGTCATCAACTCGGAATTTCAACCCTCATGCTTTCATAGTTCCTTACTCTCGTTGTATTGTACAGTGGAATTGTTTGCCTCTAGAAGCTCATACCTCTGAGCATTTACTACAGTTTAAACATCACATTTCTCCATCAGTCCCCTTAAGTACTTATTTATGTTTTATGGTGCACTTTATCAGAGCGTCGGTAGACGCTCTATATAGGGATGACACGGGTGAAATCTCACGTGATCCGCGTACAAAACGCCTCAAACCTTGGCGAGAAAGACTCACCATTGCTTGAAAATCACTAGCAATAGTCTAGAGGCCAATACCTAGCTATACATACTCCCCAAGACTTCCTACGTGCCCTCAGTTCCCCACGAGAGAATTGCCTCTTACGCGATTTCACGATTTTCGTGTCATCATCATCATCATCATATTCTTCATCTTCCGGTTTCTTCTTCAGTAAACCCGCTATCTCGTTACCGAAAATAGTTGAAGTGCTGATTTTTCCATCAAACGTTTCCAGATTCGCCAGAGGTGTGCACGGACATCAAGCGATCGTCTCTTTCATGCCGTAAGTCACTACGGTAGATCGTTGAGCTCCTCCACAGTAGTCACTGAACAACGCCATTTTTGCTGCTAACTCAGCATCAGTGAGCCGCATGCGCCGAGGAGGGCGTTTCCAATGCGGTGCGCGCGCATTACATAGCCTCGCTCCACGAGAAAAAGCCAGGATGCCTGCAGAGGACCTCTCATCCTTCAGCGCCTTCTGTAAGTCAGTATACACATTTAAACTGGCTACCTTGCTTTTAGCTGTTGATTTACAGGTGGCAGTCTGCGCCGGGTTACGCGAGGCGTACAAATTGGCCTTCACTCTTTGTCCCCGGGTAGCTAATAGTAATCTGGTTACTGAAGCCTGCCCATGAAATCGCCACCGTGTGCCACAACCTAATTGCGTCCTTGTTGGAGGCACTGCGTACACCCCGCTTAGGCGCAGCAGCCCATTAGCTACTGCTTTTATCAGTTATCTCTACAACATACCCATGAACATCAGGTGACTGAAAATGCAGTGTTGTCATAAGCAGTTAAAAATAGTGGAAACAAGTGGAAAAATCATTTCTTCAAAATGAAAGGGGGATATAGGGATGGCTTGAAGCACCAAAAAGGAACAAACAAGAGGGTCATTACACAGCAAAGTTGCACAAAGCTACATGACACCATCCCTATATCTTTGTTGTTATACGACTCTGCAATAGAGGTTGTCTTACATGTATATTTAGCTCGAGGGAGTTTGCTTATAAACAATAAAACAAAGATATAGGGATGGTGTCATGTAGCTTCGTGCAACTTTGCTGTGTAATGACCCTCTTGTTTGTTCCTTTTTGGTGCTTCAAGCCATCCCTATATCCCCCTTTCATTTTGAAGAAATGATTTTTCCACTTGTAATTATTAGCATCTGGTACATATTGTGTACCGTGCATTATTATGCCAATGATGAAATGAAAACACAGCGTATTCATCCTCTCTTATCCGTTGTTCGTATGCACGCTTCTTGATTTGTTCGTGCTTTCCTCCATGCTCGCCTCCAAGTGGGACCTCACCTACAGCCGCACTCTATGCTGGCTGCGTTATCGTCTAGCCTTCTCCCTTCTACGCTCCTCCATTCAGGTGCCAGATTATCATGTGAACATGCCATCAAAATGTCCATGGTGGTTGACCTAATCAATTCCGAATCACATCTTCCATCACTCTAAACAGCACTTCCGTTTGGACATCCCTGCTTATATACACATGAGATGTTTATTTTCCTCTTTTGCTGTACTAAATTGTATATCATTTAGTACAGTAATAAGTAGTACTTACATATAGGGATGTCCTGCATTATGCCCAAACATCTGAAATTATTATACTAACCCGCCTCTAGTAGTCTGGAGTAGCCTGCCTATTTCACACGCACGGAAGAAGGCAGGCTACGCCAGACTAGGTCGGTATATAGACGATGACCACTTTTGTCTCACTGTATGTGTGTATAATGACACTCTGAGAGGGATGGTGTGTGGGGTTCTGTCTGTGTCTCTGTGGGGGAGGTGTTGTGGATTGTATAAAATTTCATACCTGGCTTTCTCGATTGAATGTTCATTCCAGCTGTACAATCAGCATTGTTTCTAGAAATATTTAAGGAGGAAGGCAAACCGTAATCCAGACAACCTCACTTAATTATTGACTTAAGAGGGAGAAAATTTGCCAAGAAAAAAAACCACATGCATAAATAATGAAAAGCACTAAAGTGCAAACCTTCGGCGAACTGGGGATGCGCGGTACCGCTAATTGATGGGCTGGGCTGCTATTAGTATGCGTTTACTCGTGGTCTCCCGCTAGTAGCTCGCAGAGAGTCTGACACGGGCTAGCTACAGTAGTAAATAGTATGCGAGAGTCGATACACGCCCTTCGTTGTGACTTCTTGTGCCTTCAAGATACACAGAGCAAGCGGACCCGGTCGAGGATATAAGCGCATGCGCATTTTCCCCAGCGATAAAAATGGCCGACTACGCATTAGCCGTACAATGGTGGAAGCGCACTAGCTCTGCAACGGAGCATTTTCAGAGAAAACTGTCTTTATTTTCTGACCTTCGTCGCCTGTTGGGTAGATGGTATCGTTTCTGGGACGAACAGACACCCGAGAAGTGAGATTGAGAGTAACAGACAAACAGACAACCAAACCCAATGAAAAGCACTAAAGTGCAAACCCTCGGCGAACTGGGGATGCGCGGTACCGCTAATTGATGGGCTGGGCTGCTATTAGTATGCGTTTACTCGTGATCTCCCGCTAGTAGCTCGCAGAGAGTCTGACACGGGCTAGCTACAGTAGTAGATAGTATGCGAGAGTCGATACACGCCCTTCGTTGTGACTTCTTGTGCCTTCAAGATACACAGAGCAAGCGGACGACCCGGTCGAGGTTATAAGCGCATGCGCATTTTCCGCAGCGATAAAAATGGCCGACTACGCATTAGCCGTACAATGGTGGAAGCGCTCTAGCTCTGCAACGGAGCATTTTCAGAGAAAACCCCACATATTTTCTGACCTTCGTCGCCCGTTGGGTAGATGGTAGCGTTTCTGGGACGAACAGACATTCGAGAAGTGAGATTGAGAGTAACAGACACACACACACACCCAACTACAGTACCCTCGCTGCGCATGCGCGCCGAGGGTAACTACTGTAACCCTCGCTGCGCATGCGCGCCGAGGGTTAATTATAGTGGGAGACTTCTATGAGAAAACCTTCGTTAAGGATGCACACATCAGTATATTTTTCCCTGCAAAATAATTTTTTTTTGCAATTTGGACAGACCATCTTCAATATACTTTCGTAAAGATGTTACCCTGAATATTTTACTGCACCAACTACTATTTCCGTTGTTCGCTTATCAAATGCAATACATGCATCATTGACCTTTAGTGCATTAACTGCATGTAAATAATTAGCCAGTTTTAAGTAAACCTGTAAAGTAACTCGGTTGCTAGGCAGTGGCAAGGAGCAACTGTGGCATGTCACACTTGTCTTCTCAGAAAAAGTGTGGTGCAAAAAATTCCAATAGTTTATCTGTGTTTCACATGCTCTTCATTAATAGTTAGTTGTGTATGTAGGTAGGTAGGTGTTCCATGGGCAGCCCCTGATGGACACAGGAGTCTGGAATGTCATAATTATGCTGGCAGTGTTTGGTTTCATGAATCCAAACTCCCTCACTCCCTTTTCCTCTCTCTCCCACATACAAATCAGTAATAACTCGGTTGTCGTAGCTGTATTGTGGTGTATTCAGGCTATGTGTGTTCAACTTCAAGTGGGACGATGGGTCGGTGGGAGAGACCGGTGGTAGTAACTGAGAATATACGCAATTGGTAATCAAGGAATGGTAACACAGAATTATTTTCTGCGTGAAATACTTTTTTAAATGGGTGTGTGGCTCCAGCTGCGTTGCACATATAGCTTTGCTCAAATATCGCTTTTCAATCTTTTCTGCCACTCTGACTGATATTGAACACAAACTATGACATCCCGACTACTTATACTGTGTACATGCCATTAACATTATTATATAATACCAGTGGGGATGCTACACATGTATCGTCCTTGCAAAATAACATGTGTTATCTATTGTCCTTGTCATGTGACCCACATAGCTTGACTACAGGAGTTCAACACTTTGTCACAATTATCGCACATTAATGGTCCTTGTAGAGGTAAAAATGGTGGTTTCAGAGGTTACCTGCATGAGATTAGCTTTTCTCACAGCCGTCTTAACTAGTTCACCTCCCTGATTACATTCTTAATGAGGCATTATGAATATTCGTTTACAGCACTAATGAAAAGAAGAGTAAAAGTTGCAAAAGTCGTGCCCTATTGTCTCAAAGAAGCATATGATAGCTTACTCAGTGGGGTGACGCATGGAAACTGCTCTTGTGAGCAAGGTCATAATCTATGATAGTTTTATGCATTTTCAGTGAAAGTTACATTGCCAAGTCATTTCACAAAACAGAATAGGTGATGAGCAGCAAACAAACACTTCTAACAAAAATTGTTTTCTGTTGTTGATTACATAAGAATACGGTCAACATTTCAGCTTTCTTCACTCAGCATAACTTTTAGTACTGTAAAAAGAATTATCATCAGTCAATAGCTGTATACAGCTCCTACAGAGTCAGTATGAATGGACTCACTCGTCAATCAGTTTACGATACTTCTCAATGTCAGCCGTCAGGTTGATTCCAGAGAAAACAACTGGACCACCACTGACTGTTGAACGAATATAAGATTCCTCAATTTCAGTCACCTATGTTTAAAATAATTATAATAAAAATTAATATCAACAATTTTTCATAAATTCTTACTAACCCGAACATGTAGTTTCTTCTTCTCTTCCACGTGGCGTTTCTCAGTATGTATAAACTAAAAAATTTAAACAACATAATATTGTTTAATATAATATATACAGCATTCTGGCATACCTTTTGTCTAAGTTTCTCATACTCAATCCTTGATTTATCACATTCCTCAATTTTTTTATCACGCTCTTGCTGGAAAATGTTGCATTGTGAACAGACATGGCATTTTTCTTCTTCCTCAGTAGCAGTCAACTCGTGTACTTCTACTACTTCAACCTAAACAAGCAAACAACACCTTAAGAGAGTTTTATTTGAATAATAATAGCTACCTCTTCCAACTTCTTTCTTGTTTTCGTAATTGCAGCTTGAATCTTTTCTTTCTTTAGTTTTTGAATGATGTCTCCCCACTGTTTCCTCTCGCTGTCAATGATGTCCATTCTCTCTCTCATTCTCTACAGCATTAATTACACATTGACAACCTTTTGTAACATGCATCAACCATGGGGTCTCAGGCAATACCCAGAAGCAATAAGGAATTACCCAGGGTGGGATTTTAACCTACAACACTCTGCACTCTATAGGTATAACATATGAAACACTAGCGTAGTTCAGCATAAAAAAGGGGCACAGGTGTGTTACCTACCTTTTGAATTTCAAGTTCCCTTTCCTTTATAGTTTTCTTTGCACTCTCCCACTTGGCCTCAAACCCGTTCCTGCTCTGAGTCACCCTCTGTATCTCCCTCTCATACTCCAACTCACTCCTCTCGGATCTCTCCTTGAGGCTGATGAACTCCTTCTCCACACACTGCCATTTCTCATAGTAGTCCTTCTTCTCCTCAGCCAGTGCCTTCAAATCCTCTTTGTACGAACAAAATCTTTGTTTGACCTTCATTCATTAACAAGATAGCTAGTTCGATAAACTAGAGTATAAAACATTTCACCTCTGCCATAAATGTCTCCAGCTCATTATTCAGGTCTTGAATCTCTTCCTTTTCCTTTAGAGCGACGACACATCTGGGTCCACTATAGTATAGTAATAATAATATGTCATAAATAGTATTAATTAATAGTTGTTTTGTTTGATTTAGTTAGTAACTCACTCATCGCCTCCACCACTGCCATCACAATCATCACCTTTGCCGTTACTAACATCTGTAGTATCGTCTGCATTCTCATCCTGGGAGTCTTTGCCTGTGATGCTATTGCCACCGTCCACCGGGTCACCGCAGCCGTCGTCCCCCTCTACCTCACTATCACCAGTTATAATTACTGCCCCAACTTCGCTGCTAATGTAGTTGTGGAGCTGCCGAAAAAAAGGTAAAAGTGTCTGATTTCTTCAGCGCATATGCTGTGACAATCTAAGTTAAACTGGCACACCTTTCAAACTCTTCGGCAGCCATAGCAACGATGTTAGTAGCAGAAGTAGACTTCATGCTTGCGTAGCTCTCAGAGCCATCAATTTCTTCAACCCTGCCTTCAGATTCTTCGGCCATCAACTGAAATTGGGAAATGTAGCATAACTCAGCGTCAATAGTCACACTACAGTACCTTAATATATAGCAGCAAACTGAAAAAAACTGAGCAACGGTGTGCCGCCAATAATTGGTCTTTCCTTCAGCCTTCTGTGAAATATGCGCCGAGCTGCAGCAAATTTATACTGCGCAGCAATAGACGCACACGCAATTAGCCACGAGCTTCTGAACGAACGTTTCCGATCTACTGGTCGTGAGCCGGGAACTGCAGGCGCGAAACGCGACGTGACACACGCTTTTATCCTACCAATGGAAGCAAAGCGCTGCACGTTCCATACCGAACTTCATTATATCAGCTGGAGATTTTTGGAGCTCATTCTACTGCACCGGCTCCCTAAATCTATGCTTACTTAGTGGTAGGTGAAATCTGCTATTTTTTGCCAATTTACAGCACTTGTAAGGTTGAGTGACTAGACCTCTCTTAGTCCCTTCTACTTTAAAGGTATGTGTGCAGCTGAAAACTGGTGTATTCCCTAGTTTTTAAGACCATACTTACGTATACCACGTCTACTAGGGTGCATGTTTTCGCAAATACCCGAAGCAGTAGAGTAGGAACATCCAAGTGGTTGAGGGGGCCAGGAAGAGACTGACACTATGATATTTATTCATGAAAGAATAGTTTTAACAGGTGAATGTATAATTATTCATTCCTGAGGGTTTTTGCAGAAACACCCGCAGTAGGCGTGGTATAGGTAATTTGTAGCCTAGTTTTGCTCATCTTCAAAGGCAGTGGCGTCCAGGGGGGGTGCTTTGGGTTCTCCAGCACCCCCCATGCGCCACTTCTTCAACATACAAGAGTTAGCCGCTCGCATGACTAGGCTCACTGCTACCGGCGGCGTCCGAGTCGGCGACCCGCGCGAGCGTAAAAACGGGCGTGGCACTTAGTCGTGTAAGCTAAGCGCGTATTGAACCCGCGCAGGCAGTTCGAACTTGCTATATAGGCGTCGCCTGAGGAGTAATAATCACACATTCACTCAGGATATACTGTAGTGGCTAGCTACCACAGCAACCGGCCTGTAACAGTATTGCTTGCACCATGCTGGATGCAAAGCTACACAAACTCACCTTAAAATAATTTTGGTGAAGGAGGAAACTCACAAGGAATGGAGGAAACTATAAATATGAGACCATATTGGTTAGCTTTGTAGTGGTGTCACATTCCCAGAGTAGCTAACCAATATGGTCTCATATCTATAGTTTCCTCCTTCACCAAAATTATTTTAAGGTGAGTTTGTGTAGCTTTGCATCCAGCATGGTGCAAGCAATACTGTTACAGGCCGGTTGCTGTGGTAGCTAGCCACTACAGTAAATCCTGAGTGAATGTGTGATAATCAGGCCTAGCTATGACCTCTCCAGGGACACGTAACGATTAAAGATTTCTTCATCATTATTCCACTGAGTGAACCTTTTTAGTACTGGGTGATTAACTTGCACCAAAGGATATTTTATCTGCTTAAAATATTCTGGGTATATAAACAAAAGAATGGTAATTGGTGTTGATGTATGTAGCTACACTTGTGCCTTAGTCCACCCTCGTTCTAAAAACTAAAAATAGCGTGCACAGTGTATCTGAATACCTGCAGTTCAACCTCATCACCTTAATTACATTGTGGAAAAAAACTGCACAATGATTCGCTCACTTGACTTTTCCCACCACAATTGTCATTCTGTTCTTATAATATCTTGTTGCACTAAGTCAGTCAAGCAGGTTGAGGTAGAAAATAAGTTATTTCTGCAATGGGGCAGAGACCAAATGCCTGCTCTAACGCAATCACCACATACGGTTTAGTTCTTGTCATGTGACTGTTAGCCAATCAGATCTTTCCATTTTGTCACAGGCACACTGTATTGAATTGCTTAATGCACTGCAAAGTGTGGTTAATGCAAACTTTTGGCTGAAGTCACATGCAGACACGAATGTTAGAACACACTATGTATGTATTGCATTCTGCGGTTCCAATTAGTGCTCTCGGGCGGAGTTATAACGATCTTAATTATGTAATGCACTTGCCCACGGCTTGTGCATTATGTGATGTCGATTGTTGTCACTTCTTCCTCGCCCATTAAGACTAAACTGCATAATGCATTGCATAGTGTGTTCGTGATTTTAATTAATAAACATCTGGGGGGAGAGACACACAAACACAACACAGAGATGTTACCAGGTCTCATGTCTTCTCAGACAAGCACCGTTGCATTAGGTTCTTGATTTTCATTACAGTGCTGCAGACAGATTTTGGACCGGGATGGCTGCTAACTTGCGCAATAGCTATAGTGCGAGCACATAGAACTCGCTCAAGATGGCGTGGTTCCACTTACCGCTCTCAAACTAATAGCATACCCCAAATAAGGTACTGAATGGTGCAAGTGCAATGTGATGTTATTTTACTGTCAATGTAACGACAGAATGCATGGAAAAGCTGACGAAAATTTGGGGGACAGTTTGAATGTTCAGTTACACTTGCGACAGTTTGCTTAGCAAAACTGGCTAGCTGCGGAGTTTCAATATGGTTAAAGCTATCTTCCTAAAAATAATCTTTGTTTCTAACTTGACATGGAACAAAGCGAGATAGGAAGACTGTGTCGACACAAGGAAGATTGAAGTCCCCAGTTCTGTCAATATTGCGGCTCCTACAAAAGGTTGGTGAACTTTGACCAGCAGACAACATCAGCTAAGATAAGGTCTGAGTTACACTGAACCAGTGTTGAGTAAGAGGGCAGAGAAAAGACTGGCTACTTGGCTGCATGGTTCAGGTTCAGTGCACACAAGGATTATACTCAGTTACTACACTGAGTCTCCTTCAGTCAAAAGAAAAGGGATTAAGACGTTCAAAAGAGGAGTATGGAGAAAACCATTAAACAGGGAGAGCAATAGAAAAACTGGTGACAAGTGAATATTTACGAAGTTAGTGGGTTCTTTAGGCACAAGACTCATACCCTAGGTAGCTACCTCAGCAGAATGTGAAGGCAGAGACCGAGAAAAGTCATCAAAAAAAGGAGAGAGAACCTGATGATGAGTCCTTTACTCAAACCAGTGATGAAAAGGTGAAGACCACTGGTGAATATTCTGTTTCTTACACAAACCCAAGTCTCTACAACTATATTTTTCGTTTGTGCTCTTGACAGGAGAATATATACAAAAGCAAGGTTTTTTCACTCGGATAATTAAATGCTGCAAGACAAGTAGCTACTGCTCAATAATATGGTGTTGTTTAATGTCACGTAACTGGTAGCTAACAGGCAAAGGAGAAACAATGGCTAGTCTAACAACAGTTTTAAAGAGAACTTGGCTAGCTATATAGGCAACTGTTGTTGAGCAAACCATCGTTCTCACTCTGTACTACTAGGTTAATGATGAAGTGGAGCACACCTTCTCAATTCTCTACCTAGCTATATCTACTGAGTAGCTACCATGCAGCTTTGTATAAACCTGGCTAAAGCAACAGCTTGAAATGTTAGGTAACATCTGTTGATAGCCACTTTAAAAAAGAGGTTATAAAGAGAAAGCAATCATCAGCTACAGAGATGATCAATATAGTGCAGCTATGTGCACTACCGACGTGCACTTGAATGCACTGCGGACATGCACATAAGTGCACTGCCGACGTGAACTTTAGTGCACTGCCAACGTGCACTTGAGTGTTCCTATAGTCATTATTCCTAGTTGGTATCACTGGCTGGATGTCGGTAGCTAGATGGCTTCATTATAATGATCTACCACATAGTCGGGTAAGTGAAAAATCATATCTCCAAAAGAAGGGGGATATAAAGATGGCTCAAAACATGATAAAGTAAAGAATGAAAAGCACTGAAGTGCAAACCCTCAGCGCACTGTGACGCGCACGCGTAAGTAAACGCATGCGCCGTACCACTAATTGATGGGCTGGGTCGCTACGCATGCGCGCCGAGGGTTAATAAGGGGTCATAAAACAGCTCAGACAAACAACGCTACTTGGCGTATCTATATCCTTTGTCTCATTGTTGCCTATTAATGGAATAAATATAGGGTTCCCTCCATTTTTAGGAAATTATCATTCCATTTTTAAAAATGAATGAACGCAGCATGTAGGTAGCTACTAACCATGTTGTACATGGGATTACGATGAAACTGCCTGACAAAGCAAGCACCATGTAGCTTCATAAGATACTAGCTTTTGTAGTGAGATGGAGTTCGATAGACAGGGACACTGACTGGGACACTGACTGGGCCAGAAATAAGGTTCAAAAGGTGGGGGGGCTCAACAAATCATTCTTGTACAGTCAAAACATAGCAAAAGAACTGCAAAGCTAGGGCACATAGCAGAAAGGGGGGGGGCACCCTTAATTAAAAGTGGTGCCAAAGCACCCCCTGCCCCCTAGTATCTCCGGGCCTGACTGAAACACCAGCAGCATTGCACTGTGTGCGTACATGCCAGGCGCGTGCTGCTGAGTTTGACCCGCGCTTATCAGTTTTTGCGGGGTCACGCGAAATGGGCGTGGCTCGCTTACGCTGAACGCTAGACAGCGTTGCGAACATAACTGTGTAGTAGCAGAAGATCCAGGAGAGAAGGATGACAATAACCAAAGGATGTGCGCTCGGAGCTAAGATGATGTTTGGTGCTCTGTTTTTCGCAGTGGAGATCACGTGCCAGGAACAAGCCGCAAGTTAGTTTGCCTTTGCCTGTCTCTGCGACCATGTGGCCTGCTAGTTCCCCTTAGTGCTACACAGTTAGGCCAGAATATAATACTTGTCTTTGCGAGGAGAATGAAGACCTAGCTATCTAGAATCGCTCAATGTGTGCTGCACATATAGCTAGCAATCACGTAGCTATCGCTCTAGAGACCTGAACTAGAAAATGATTTATAATGCATTATTGATAAACTAAAATTTCACGTGCAGATGCATAATATTGTAAACATGCTCACACTTTGTAAACTGTGGCAATTCATATTATTTCCCCTCCATGAGTACTTAAACCTCTGGGGAACCAGACGGTGGTCCTGGGAGAACAAGCACACTTCTTCTGTCAGCTCCTGGGACGAGAGGACGACCTGAGACTGAGGATCAATGGACGTCTTCATGCACTTCCTTTCATCACTCCTGATCTTGTCATTGGAGTGCAGAGCTCTGCACCAAGAATGGACGGACTCTCTGTCAGTAATATTAGCATTGACATCACTGCCACAAGGGAACGTAATCTGACACTGATTGAGTGCTATGATGCAACTATGAACAGTGCTGCTTTCTCAAGCGGAACACTAACAGTGAGAGGTGAGGGTATACAGCTGCATCTACTGTTTTACTACTGTGCATTTCTTATGTGAAAACTTTCTTTATAATGTTCCAGGAGGACCAGGGGAGCCAGAAGTTGGGTATGAGGTCAACCGAGATGGGAAAGAGATTGTGCTGTCCTGGCCACACCCCTTCACCTGGGAGGACTACCCCATCACTGGATATGATATTGTGTGCAGAGAGACTGAGTCAGAGAAGATCATTCATGACATGACACTCAATGATACTGACATCCTAAATGAACCAGTTGTCAATCACACTGTGGATCTACCTCCTTGTGTCCCAGACTGCTACACTCTCCAGTGTACCGTGACAGCTTTCAACTCCTTATGGCACTGCGTTCTACCCTTTTACTTTGACTTTTCGTTTCGTTCGTGTAAGTGGTATATTATACATGCTCTCCGTAATCTGTAACATGTTGTTCCACACACAGTAAAAACTACCTGAGATGTAGAATCTAGCATAAAACAAACAAGCTCCAGGACAACAAGATTGGAATTTTCATTTGTGTGGAGGTTAGCCTGTTGTTTCCCTCTGATGGTCTCATCAGTGTTTCTCTCCTTCCAGCTCCCAGTGTTGTGTGTGTTCCAGAGAGTGAGGTACAGAGTTGTCATCTCTCATGGAGGAGACCCAGTCCTAGAGCTGTCCAGAGAGTTCAACTACAGCAGTGGCTACACTAGTGAGTGTATTGAGGAGAAGGTCAGTGGAGAGCTGGAGGAGGGAACTGAGTACAGTCTCCTGGTCTTTGTGGATGATGGAGACTCTGGGAACTCTTCTTCCCCCATTCAGACCTTCAGTGAGTTTTATTACTCATCAATCGTGTACAGGAAATGAAAATGTGTTTTTAACTAGCATTCTGCAGAGGAAACAGCGGAGGGAGTGATGGCGATCATAGGAAAAATGATGAGAGTTGTCTTTTAGGAATAACTGCAGGTATTGCAGTTGTCCTCTCTCTACTGGTGGTCCTGCCAGTAGGTGTGGTCCTGGGCTGCTGTGGAATGTGGTGTCTGATAAGGGAGAGAGAAAGACGACATCACTTCAGTGACAAGGGAAGTGAGAGCAGAGAGGAATCACACTATGATGTGCCTGTTCCTACTCAGTCTGCTATCACTGTGACTCATAACCAGGCATATGCCTCTGGCAATCAAAGACTGTAGCTAGTTTTAGCTTTTTGTGTGTTTCAATTCTTTGGTGCTAGCTACAGATTATGCTCTCTGTGAGCCCAACCCCTCGGCGCTGGCGCGGTCGCAATTGTTCAAAGAACGTTTCAAAGCATCATAAATGAAGATAGACATAATTCTTAATACTCCTAACAGTGTGTGCAGCACCGGTCTCAGTCACCAGTGACACCTTCACCAATACTTTCACTCTGAGTGAGAGTCAGAGATCTAAGTTGTAGCTAACTGGAGAGCTTTGCTCTGACCTTGTTCTCCAAGTAGCTATCTGCTACAAACAGTGAAGGTGGATTTCTCCAGGAACTGCAGTAAAAGCTGCTGGAAGGTTTTGTTAGTTATAGCTAAATGCATGATTTTTCTGCTCCTCTCCTTGATTGAACGTTTTCTGTCAGTTTCAGCATACCTTACTTGCGATAATTGTTGTCATAACTCACTACAAGTTGCATTTATGGACAGATGTCAGCAACAACTAATGTTATAACCAACTATGATTATTGTCCAAAAGAGTAACAAAGGCTGCTATGAAGTGAGAGCTACCTTGAGTCCTGCCATTGAACTGACTCTTTTGAGCGATGGACAGCCAGGGATTTTTTGTGTAAGAGCGGGGTTCAACCCTCGGCGCGCATGCACAGCGAGGGTTATGGCTCAACCCCAACGATGCGCGCCTAGGGTGCGGTCGACTTTGGTCTTATGCCGAAGGTTCTCGCTAAAAGTCGATGTTGGTGTATCTCTTGTCCGTCCGTCCGTCTGACCGAGTAGCTATAGCGAGACATGGACCAACAGCCAGCCAGGTTGTGATCCGGGATACCTACCTCACGAAAGAGACTACGACCTAAATTCACTTTCTGGCAGAGCGGGGGGCTCTATCTGATTATGCTCGTATGGGTCTGTCTCTGATACAGCCCTACAGAGTCAGAGCGGGGGCTCTATCTTTCACCTTGAGAGATTATCCAGACTTGTGAACTGCAGAAAGTTATGTGTGATTATTTTTATTCGTTGTTTGTGCCATCCCTAACGGGCAGTGCTAAATGATTGAACTATGGTACTTGGTCCGTAAGTGTGTCTGTCTCTCTGTTACCACGTTTTCTGCCACCACGTACAACGAGACAACGAAAGAGCGACACAAAAAGGTTCAGCATTGATTTTAAATTTTGGCGATTTTCGTAAAAGCAATGCTATGGCGTGAAAATGAAGGTAAGAAGCCAATAATTATGTTATTTTGTATTGGCTTACCTCCACAGGATTTTGTCGCTGTTTGTGCACTGCGGAGGCATACCATCAACGGAAGACGAGCGTAGAGTGCAGCGAAACCTAAACGCTAGTTTAGCTACCGAATGATAAATCTATAAACGCTATTTATAACTGGCTGGGCGGGTATCCCGACTGCACCAACCGCGGGTAATTGTACCGATCCCTCCGCGCCTAAACTGGCGAGCGCGTTTGTGATTCGCTTGCCATTCGTACGTATGGAGCATGCGTAGTCACTGAGCTCAGTGTGGCTTCATTCGTCGTTGTCCCGTGGAAAGCTGTTTAATGGATCAGTATAGCAACATTTTTTGTCACAATCAGAGTGCGTAGCTAACTTTAGGCCAATCAACATGTTTAGAATACCCAGACTGGCTTTACAAAGCAGGCCTGAAATGAGAATAAACATTGAGCATGTCCTAAAGCCAAGAAACATAAAATCGAAGAAGGACAGAAACCATCATCATCTCATCAAAATCACAAGTACACAACATCACGTGGAAATTACACAAATCATACAACAATTTGGTTCCCGGACTGAGAGAATACAACCATCAACGAATGAATGGTATACTGATTAACAAAGTTAGACCTGGGAACAAGGGCTGTTAGCTAATGCGTGCGTGTGCGCCCGTGTTCTGAAGGGCTGAAGGAAAAAGGCTCTGTAAAACATGTGCGAGGCTAGCGTTCGTCTGCGCTAACCCAGACCTTCGCTAAGAGTCGGCAA